CTTTCAAATGGGCCCAGGCAAGAAGGAGACTTGGATGGAATCTGCAGTGAGAAGCACCTGGTACTGATACAGAGTGTGCACAATCAAGATGTTTTACAGGCTTCCTGGTATGCATATCGACTGCTAATTAGAGAACCAATAATTGAAATATCTTCGCTTAAGAGGATTCCATAAGTTCCAGAAGCCTCTGGATAGAAGAAAAAAAACAGCTTGTTTTCTGAATGATTATTCTTTCATTTTCTTAAGATCACTTGCCAAAAACCTGTTCTTGTCTGCTGTCACCTGTGGCTTTGGTGGATTGGGCAGTGGTGCAGCTGATACAGTCATTCCTTTCAAGGTGTGTCATAGTCCCGATTTCACAAGGCTTTGTCAGTGCTGCTGTTTCCTCTTCTGGATTCCTTTCCTTCTCTGTCTGAAACAGACAAAGCCCTCTGGTCAAAGAACAGTTTGTGCCTTACGCCATTGAATTAGTATAAGGAAAGCAAATGGTGTATACATTTTGCCATTGGTAGTTTTGTGTTATGATGGTATATAACAATGCAATGTATATATTTGTGATTTTATTTTTTGTGTGTTTTAAAAATCTCTGTAGGCATTAGGTGGCCTAGTTATTTGTTTTAATGATTTTGGATTTTAAAAAAATACTTTCAGAACTTCTTAACTTAATATTTCTGTGATCTAAAAGCTCATCGCAAACCCAAAACAGTGGTAATTGAGAAAATTCAAATGTAGCGCAGAGGTAAATGAAACATGCATTTTCAATGTTTTTTGACTGCATTGGAAAATATGCAACAATCAAAATAAACTCGATCTATGATCTGTGGGATCTATGGGATGTGGAAACATTATATATTTAATGATTTTCTGTAACTTTCAGAATAGGAGGAATCATATTTGTTGGCCTATAAATCTGCTAGCCATGAAATAAACCAGGGCATACTTATCACCAGAGATGAGTTCATTTAGATGCACTGCAGGTAAAACAATTATATACAGAGACTAGAAACAGTGATGGATTCACTTTCGTTGGATCAGAATATTTTTTACCTTGATCCTGTAGTACCCCTGCATGTGCTGGCTTTAGCTCTGTTACTTAATTTAACAGTTGATTCACATGTTTATTCCATATAAGTACAAGGACTAATAATGACCTTCATCACACATTTTTGTTTTGTTTTTCGAAACTTTTACGGATGACAGGTTATCAGTATTTTTTAGCTCAAAGCCAGTCCTTGCTAGTATTTGAAAACTGCTAAAAAGGCTTAATTAAGCCTTATTATTAGTTAAGCTGATGTTTCACTTCACTAATTGGGTGCTCACCTGGATCAACATCCTGCTGACAGCAGAGAATTTGAAAAAGTAAGGAAAAAATACCTTAGGGCAGTAAAGCACATCTAAAATACTTAAAAGAACGGTTGGATTAATTGTTCTGTATTTAATTGCACTTATTTGGCCTGATGCAGTGGTTTGAAGAATGCTAAAGTAAGTTGTTAGTTTTAGTATTTACATTTTAATACTCACACACAGAGTTAATACTAAACCCAACCTCTGAACTATAAACATTACATCATGTGTAGTGTTCATCGTTTTCTGTAATGTGACATCCCTTTAAAATATATTAAAAAGTGCTAATTACCTAAAACATCTTATCACTCGACATCACAGTTGCTGAGTGTTTGCCTTATCGATTCCCGAAGCAGAGTTTACTGAGGATGCTAATCTCTGATCCCAGAGCTGTTTTAATTGTATTTCAGCCCTGCTGTATACCAACTGATATACTGTACGTACACATGGTTGTATATTTTTCAGTAGATGTTGAATGAGACTTCCGACAGTAAAGTGTCAGCAATGGAAACTATGGCATTTTAAATAAACTGTTTTATCATGATAAAAACAGTGATCTTTGTATTTTAAAGGGTGGTGTGTTATTGTAAAATTAAAACAAAGAAAATGCAGAACTCTATTCATGTAACACTTTTTGCTGCCTAGGGTGTGTTTCCAGTGGATAACCTTTCTTAAAATCCCCCTTATCATAATGGTGTGATTTGCTGGTGGTGGATTGTCAGTACAGTCAAAACGATACAGTATCTATATTGTTGGAGGAGCAAACTTTGTTAAAATAAAAATGACTTTTGTGTAACTAAAGAAGTTCTAAGGCAATATTAATTAATGACAGACTTAATCTCCTGTGCTGTTCCTAGTGCCTATTTCTCACAACACAATATATTTGTGTTTACCAGGTACCTATTTTTAATTTATTTTAATTACTGTGAAATATAAGAAAAAAAGGTACATTTATGTTTTTGAATGTTTGTAATGGTTTTGAATGATGGTATGTCCAGATGTTTTCCAACAGAAGAGATATTTTTAAAATTACACTTCCAAAAACATAAGTGGAAAAAAATACAAAAGCTGGAAGGAGGGAAAAAGTATTCATCTTTCAGTGCAATTATTGTATTAATAGCTGTTGTTTAATCATATTTCAAATTGTGCTGTACATTTGCTATTCCAATGTATATGAGCAAGTGTATACTTGTGAACTAGATGGGAAATGGTTGTTTTTTTGTTTTTGTATCCCGTTTTATTCTCCGAGAGCCTTTGTGCAGAATTTATCACCTCATATCAGGAAGATAATTTAGGTGGGCTGGATTCTAATTTTAGAATTTTGGGGATATTGTAAGCCCCTTAAATCATCAATGGAGGAAAGAGACAAGTAGGTGTCTAGACTGGGCAGTACCTTAAGACCAGTGCAGATTTTTATCCTCAACTTTGAAGGTATTATGATCACCCACAGGCAAAGATATCAAACATCACTACCTGGGAATGGTTTTTCCTGCTTGTTTTTCTCCCCCGTTATGATTTTGCAAACTTTTACATTTTGTATTGCACTTGTCTATATGATTCATGCACATTTGAATATACCTCTCTGATGTGTAAAGTACTACTGTGCATTTTATTGAGAAGCAACACAAACTGACATTCTAAAGATCTCTTAGGCTCTCAAAAGTGGTCCATATAGGCCAAGTGTGAGAATGAATTTCAGAGTGCTTAGATTCTGACTGGTCAAAATACAGTCCTTCAGACAGGCCTTTACAGATCTTGATAAATCTCTCATGTCTCCAGATGCACAATTGTGTGATGTAGGGTATGAAAAAAAAGGCATGGAAAAAAATGTGACATTATTAATAGTACCTATTAATTTAGGCCGGCATAAGACTTTTCTGAAAGCTAGGACACAATAAAAGCCACCTAGCCTGTTCCGTATCACTACAACACACAATACTTTTGCCACATTTGTCCTGCAATACTTTCAACAATGATCTGTAGACTTTTGGAACTGACTGTTAAAAAATGTTTTCTGAGCCATCAGTACAAAATGATGGATAATTAATGTGTATCTCTCCATATTTTTGTAAATACTTTGTGTGCTTGCTGGTCACAAAAATGTTTTTCTTGTCTGATGTGGAGCGACATTGGGAAAAAAAAACATGATTTTATTTAAAAATGAATAAAGACATGATATTGTACCTCATCATTATTAAGAAGCCTTTTAAAAATAATTGACACCTTTTCAGATGTTTTTTTTTAATTATGTCCCTTCAGATGCCAAGATGATCAGATTTTCCTGTTGTTTGTATTAAATTAAGCGTTAGATCCCTGTAATGTACTGCTATCTTTTCTTGAGGTGATATCCCACCTTTGATGCATTGAAACTGATGCAGTCAACTAAAATAATTCTGTGTTGCATAACTGCTTTAAAAGTAACATGTCTGTGGTATTTCCTGTATCTCCTCACCCTGCTCACAATTTATAGTATCAGAAAATTCAGTAATCTTTTATATAATTATTAATGGTCTTTGTCAAAATAAGTGCCTATGCAATACTTCATCCTGAGATATTTTAGTTAAAATAAAGCCTCCAGCTGCGGTCCTATTAATAGAGGCATAATAAGCAGCAGAAAAGTACTGCACCACAAGAAGGTTTAAAGGCCATCAATCCATTCTCAGAAACCCACTTGATCACGGTGAGGGGTGCAGCAGTCTGGAGCTTACTCTGGAAGTACAGGGCGCAAGATGGGACTATAGCCAGGACAGGAGGCCAGTCCATCACAGAGCACACATGCACATGCACAATAGAGACGGCAATTAACCTGCCCAGCGTGTCTTTGTAAGATGGAAGGAAACCAGTGTATCCAGTGAAAACGCAGAAAGCAAGCCACCGTGAAATGGAGGACAAAGCTGGAGCTGCAATTGCAGTGGCACTAACTTTTATTTTAAGGCGCAATGTCTGCAAAATATTCTGAAATAATGATCAAATGAAATGATTAAATGGCCCTGGTGTGAGTGTGTGCGTGTTTGTGCCTGTGTGTGCCCTGTGAAAGACTGGCGACCTGTCCAGGGTATACCCTGCCTTGCACCTGTTGCTTGGAAATGCCCTGGCTCCCCCATGACCCAGGATTGGAGGAAGTGGTAAATAAAATGGATGGATGGATGAACCCTGTACTAATACAGTAAGTATTAGGGATGCCCTCCTTCAGGTGTGTGAGCAGACATGTAACCAATTGGCCTTCAGCAGAAGGATTAACACCCTTAATTAACAAGATGGAGAGAGGTCGCATAAAGACCTGGAAATGTTGCAGTTTAGGGTATTAAAGGACAGAGCAGAAAAAAAGTCTAAACTTGCATGTAGTCTGAGAACCACTGCGCTTAGTGGTTACCTTGAGGAACATCAGACAGGCTTCGCTTTCCAACTCCCAGATGGCAACCCAGTTAGAACTGCAACGGAATGAGTTCCATTCACTGTTCCCCTCCTCACTGCATCATCTGGTGGGAATTTTGATAAAAGAATGGGATTGTACTAGGATGCAACCATTTCAATCTACTGTACAGTGGAAGCCTGCACATTGCGAAGAACAGTCAAGAGGGTACAGATATCCAGGATGTTGTATACTGTAGGTGTATAGCAGATTATAGTGCGGAAATGTTATTTATATTTCTGGATTGGTTGGTTTAAATTTTCAATGCAGAAATTAGGATATTGTAATGGGCAATGCTCGTTTTCTAAATAAAGGACTGAATTATACAGTACCAGGTATGTCTAATGTTGTGTGAAAAGGTGATTGTATCTGCTTTATAAATCAGCCTTGAAAATAATTGGAAAAGAATAGTCTTTTTCCTCAGCTTTTTCCAGGCACTCTTGTTTTTATGTTCTGCTGAACTGGTTTTTAGTCATAACATTAATATTGCCTTGTCTTTATAGATTTACATTTGCAAAGTACCTGTCTGTTTAGCTTCAGTAGCTTGGAAGCTGACTGAATTGTAATGAGTGTTTCTGTGCCACTAGGCTAACAAAACTCTTAAGAGTCCCTGTTGGCAGGGCAATACTTTAGTTGTGTATACTTGCCTTCCTGGAGCAATGCATTCAGTTTAGCTGACTTTGCATTTTTAATTTTTCTGTTGCTGTATTGTAATTTAGATAACTTTAGGAAAAGGTACTGTAAGACATATTAAATATTCAATTTTTTTTAACTTCGTAAATCTATGTTAATCTTAAAAAGGGCATGAGGATTGGAGTATGATCAGCTTTATGGATGGAGACATCCAGGGAGATATTCATGTGACCTTTGTCAGGTGGTTGTGACATGATGGACGCGTTTGTGGACTTGAGCCTGATCTTTCTTCCATCTGCTGCATTGATAAGTTAGCACAGTTGCATAGTGTAACTATAGGGAGTTATACACAGGACAGGAGACTGTAAAGCTTCTGAAGCTTGCTGCACTTAAAATGAGTGTGTACTGTATATGATGCCTCTATATCTAGTGTTCCCATAAGAAATTCACAATTTTAGGCCTGAACCTTGGAAGAAGAACTCTGACTCAAGATGACAGTGTTTGCTTAGAGATTTGTGGGTGTGAGATGCAATGAGTTATTTTATTTCCAGAAACGCTTTTATTGGTGTGTGTTTTTTCTAGGAAAGTGGAGTCACGAGACGATTAAAAATGCTGGTCTTTAGTGATCATATCTTTCCCTTCCTTGTTAATTGTCAGACGCACTCATTTTCCCTGGTCCTGCAGTAAGTTTTTTTTTTTATTCTGCAGAGGTCCTGTTGGTTTCATTTCAGGTAACTTGCACAAATGAGGGTAGTTCTAAAACTGGGAAATTGGTACCTGTTTGATACCCATTACTGATCCCATCTGACCTTTTGAGAGCTGACATTATATTTACAAATTTGTCCCAATTAGTAAACTAGTATTAATTAGCCAGAGATTAACAGCTCAGATGGAGCAAAAACCAAAAGAGAGAGTTTTCTTCCAGGATGGGGGCCAGGAGCCACTGTTCTAGTGGACACTTTTACTATGTTCTTTGGTTCCATAGAGTGACTTGACTCCCCCGCCTGGTTTTACTTGCAGTGTGTGCCTACAGTATGGTGTGGGTTTGGGGCTGGGCTTGAGTTTCTTCAAGCATAATCTGCTTGATGTCTAGGGGAAAAACAAAGGGATCACTTCCCCCATTTCTGTTGTTTTGCTTCTGTTTGCAGTTTGCAAAGCACATTTGTGGGTATATTTTTACACACATTTAGAGAACGTTGAGTTGTGATGTCACCTTTGGTTTGTCTTGCACACTATTCAAAGAGGCCCCCCACTTGCACTCCTGTGAAATGGTAAATGCAATCCTGGCCTCACAAAGATCTGTCAGGCTGCTCTCACAGCTGCTAACAGCACATTGCCGCTGCTCTGAAAGCCTGGATGCCCTCCCTGTCGTCATCTGGATCCTGGCCACTCTTGATATCAGTGATCTAGAGCTCGCTGATGGCAGTGTAGGCAGGACTGGAGGTCTGGAGTTCTACTGCTGATGTGACCAAGTCCTGTTTGTATGGTTTTCTCTATTGCAGGAGTTTGATTCTATTTTAGATGAAAAATCAGGGAGGTACACCACTCATAGTAGAGGACTAAGGGGTAAGTGTGAGTGCTTTCTGGGTTTTAAAAAATTGAATAAATACTAATTTGCTAAATTGTAAGCTTTTGAAATAGTCCACATCCAAAGAGTCCAAACAGCCTGCACTTGGACAGAACAATGTTCTTGTTTTATTTCTATTTGAAACGTCTGTTTTCAAGAGCCTCCATCAGGCTCTTTTTTCTCATAAATAGCTGGATTCTACCCAACACCCCACTGGATCAATTTTACATGGCAGGTTTGTCTTCTTCATTTTTAATTTGAGGGAACATCCCAGGAATTCTGGGGGGATTGGAAGTCTCATGAGGCTTGAGTCAGTGTGTTGGAATTCCCCAAAGTATCCAGTCAGAAGTAAAGGCACAAGTGTTGAAATCCACAGCCATGAAGTACATCTTTTTTTATTCCCCACATCCCCTTGCTCTTGAATGTTGAACAGAGCTTAAGGATCTTGAAACTATTCAATCTTTTATTTTGGATGTTAAAGCCCGTAACATCAATGAGGTGCCAACACAAGAACAGAAGCTCACTTTTGAAAGCAGGAGTATTTTGTGGGATTAAAAGTGTATGCAGTCTATGTGTATGCAGACGGAGCATAGCTCTATCTCATTTTTAGGTGAAGATGTCTAGAACTTTGGTCTGCTTAACCAGAATTCACAGGTTTAAGAATCTGTGTATCAGTGTGCTTTTTCTTATTTTGAAATTTTTTTGGAATAATGTAAATACTGTATATGGAAATATATGTGTCTCTCTAATGGGTCCAGCAAAAAGGCCTGCAGCCCATGCTAAATCCCCAGACTGCTGCAGGTAAAAGCATTAAAGTAAAAGGTGTTCAAAGGTAAGAACTACTGTCCTATATATGTATGTCAATTATAATAATGAACAAAACAATTGATATTTAAGTAATATTAATTAGGGATGGCTATAATTGAACTTTGGTGGCGCTGCCCCTGTTGTGACACGGACACCTGTGCTTCTGTACGTTCTGTACTTTTTTATTTTTTTTTATTTTAAATGTTATAGCATGTCTATTTTTAACTACACAGTACTATTTGCAACACTGATCCTGTCCTGCTTTCTAACTACGTCCCTACTGTATTGAGATGCTGAAAGGGTGGCTTCTTTGGTTCTTTAAGGATTGGCAGATATTTAATAACCTGGAGGTTAATGAGGCAACAGAGACTGTTACAGACCATATATAACTAAGGATGTGATAGACTTGCTTTTAAAAACCGGAATCAAGTGCAACTGAAATTACTGCACAAAGAGCTTAAACTAAAACTGCAAGGAATCAACACAAGGAGACAAAGGAGAGGGACTTTGAAACAATGAACTCCAGGAGGCTGTGGCAAACAATGAAAACAGTCACAGACATTAATTCTTCAAAAAAGAGCTTCCATACAAAGGATGAGCTGGCTAAAGCAAACAAGATGAATAACTTTTATCTGAGGTTTGAGACACAGGACTTCTCTGGTGCATTTGATAGTATATTAGATACTGATACAAATGATTGCATAAGCAGTAGTCAGAGCAACTGCATTTTCAAATTCTCAGATGATATAGCTGTGCTTGGCTTCATGCATAGAGGAAGCTGTTCATCTGTGTACAATTCAGAAATCCAAAGTTTGCGCAACGGTGAGACAACAATAGCCTAATTTTGAATGTTAGTAAAACAAAAGAAATAGTTTTTGATCCCAGAGCAGTTAGTGATCATTCACATGTAGTAATCTACAATAAACCTATCACTCAGGTTGATTCATATGAGTACTTACAGTAGGTGTACACATAGATGGTAACCTGTGCCGTACTGCTCATGTTGAGAGTGTTTGCTCACAAGTTCACAAGCACTTATATTTCTTGCAAAGACTAAGAGTGTTTGGGGTTCAACAAGAAATAATGCTACTCTTTTAGCATACTGTATTCGAGAGCATTATCAGATATGGTATAACAGTGTGTTTTGTTAAATTATCAGTTCAATTGAGATTGCAAATTACCAAACAGATTTGAAGGTCATGAGAGTGTAACAGCACCCCTCCCTGCAGACAATCTTTGAAAGAGCCATAATGAAACAGGCAGAAATTTTTTGATCAGATCTTTCCCACATCTTCAATTCTGAATACCAACTTCTTCCTTCTGGCAAGCGTTTTAGGGTTCACAAATGTAAGTCAAACAGATACAAACATTTCTTTGTTCCCATATCCATTAAAGCTGTCCGTGCAAATGGCAAGGATAAACACCATTTTTACCTTTAAAAAACCACTTGTGTGCAATATGTTTTGTAATGGGTTATAAATATTATATGTTCTTATGTGTTATACATGTGCAATGTTTTTGGGGTGTGTATACTATATTTATATGTAAATATAAAAATGCTGTGTGTCCACAAAAAAAATCCCTCAGGGGACAATAAACCAACCAAAATGATCTAGTAGTTATCCGGTTCTTTGCTTTTTCCCATTTAAATCAACAGTGTAAAACTGGCAGGATGGGCACTCTAGGTCAAGCATTTTAAATTTCAGGTATAATTTGTCCCAAACCTTATGTGACTGTTTCAAATTTCACTTCCACTTAACTTTCCTGTTGAATTTTTCCTTTGTGTCGGCAGGACGTCTTTTAATCTGTGCTGTTTTGGAAAGTCCAGTTTTGAAATTGGGCAGTAGTGAATATGCATCGTGATGATCATTTGTCTCTGACTAAATCAGGAGAAAAGAGAAGCTCAGATTAGCTGTCTCCAAATTGAGGAAATTCTTGCATTGGAGGTCTGAAAATGAAACCGAAGCACGGATCCTGTCGCAGAGGAAGGCACGGAGACTTGTGCTCTAGGAAAATCCTTTGTACAGTTTTGTTTTCAATCCGTAATTGCATAAACTAAATCCTACTGCTTGACATTAAAATGAAAATAAACTCTTGACTTTAGATATCCTGACAGGAAAGCTGTTGCTTCTGCTTAGTTTTAACAAACAAGGAAAGTTGGTTTCTGAAAATGCTTTAACATGTTAAAGGTGAACAGTGACTGTACATTTGGGGAGTAAATCAGGAAAATCTATATTTCAGTCATTATATAGATTTCAGAAATGTGATTTAATTTTGGGTATTGAACCTGGAATTGCCACTTCCACTTAGCTGATCATTACAAAACAATTACAGCAGTGGAGACCAAGGGGATATACTGTACATTCCACAACTAACTCCTTCTTTTTGCCCTGTGAGGCCTATAGTACCATATGCAAAGCTTAGGCCTAGGAAGAAGACTATAAATGTGGTGACATACAGCACAAGAGGGGGTCATTTGACCTGTAATCTCAGAAGGATTCCTGTCCCATGTAATCTGCTTCAGGCTCATGACTTGGGAGATGCAGGTCTCACAGATACCGTTGTGAACTAAAAGAAAGCTGGTAGGCCACAGAGTTTGGAACTGTATAACAAGTTAACAATACCCTGCCTGAATGGAACCTATCCACCCAACTCTGGTGACACTAGACCATTGGTGCTGCACTTTTTTTTAGGGAACCCTCCTCACATTCAATTAATGACATACAGTAGCACAGATTCCCAGAGTGATTTGTGACCAACAGGGCAGAACAATTTGCTATCTGAATGAATGAACCTTGACTGGTTGAGCGATTAGTACTCCAGCTCAGGTCCTTTTTCGGCAACTGGATACGGTTTTCTCAAAATCCACTTATAAAATAATAAAATGGTTTGTCTACTACAAATGCATCATAACCTTTAGATGTTGTTGTGTTTGATGGGTATCAAGTTAATAACTACCCGTATAAGTATTTCTCAATTTTAGGTTGGAGCTGTTCAGCTAAATGTGTGCCATTGGATTGAGAATTGGTTAATAAATAGGAAAATGAGAAACCAGAAGAGAGGTAAATGTTCAAACTGAGGAATTATCACAGGTATCTGTGATAATAGGACAACTGCTCTTTTTATATATACTATATATACAGTATATCAAAGAACTAGATTCTGGTATATGTAGCAAAGTCAAGGTTGCACATATACAGCCTACTATAAATTAGTAGGATTAGCTAACACTCTAGAACAAACAAATTTAAACAATTTACACAAAATTCTGGGCAAACACCAGACAGATGACGTTTAATATAGTGATGCACAAGATTTTGAATGCAGGTAGTAAAACAAAAACTATAAATACAACACAAGAAACACCGAGTTAGAAAAGGCAATTGGTGAAAACGTTTATGTTGACACATGTCCCAGGTGACGTGAGGAATACAAACCTTTAGGATATATATTCAAACGTGTAGATTTCCAAATAGGGGATGTTATGTTAAACTTGTATAAAACACTAGTTAGGTCTAATTAGAATATTGTGTACAACACTGACCACCAAGTTCATCATCATGATCTGTTTGCAGGTTTTGTGAAAGCGTGGGCTCATGTTAATAGTTACAGACTTTGTTAATTTGTTTATTAAACCATTACCTCACCGTACTGCAAAGAAAGAACCCACATGTCTTCATGCATTACTCCTAGGCATTCCTTGGCAGTAGGAGATAATTAGCCATCAATAATATGTTTGCAAATGCATTTTGCAATTCAAATTTTTACCTCGGTCCATTTGTTTGAGTCTTTAATCATATATAGCAATTGGTTCCATCGAAGCCAATAATTTTCAGGTGAGCTTTTCACTAAGCCCTAAATATAATGGAAATAACAATTACAATAGGTTTGTTATCATGGTTTTAATAAAAGCCCATTTATACAAATGGATTGTGCAGCAAAATTGAAAAATATATGAGGAGTCTGCTTCCCTAATACTATTTCTGCTCCAAAGCCCAGGTTTATAGATGCAGTAGGCACTGTCATTGATGGTCTGCAGTCTGCTCTTGGGGACAGAAAGACACCTGCATCAAAAAATCACAGCCATGGTTATTACTGAATAACAATTCAGTGAGAACACTATCACTTCCTGATCTGTTCCTCATTTTCTCTTTTCCAGCTTTCCCACTCTGCCCATCCAACTGTTTCATCCTTCTGTTATGTTCCAATTCTTCTGACTCAGATCTGCATCTCCTTTGCATTGTGATAATTGCATTCTAATACTTGCAAGTTTCATTTGCTTGTTCAACATAGCAGTATTACATAGTTGCCCTTGAAATTAACATTGGATTTTTTTTTCCTTTGGTTATTAATCATCAAAGATTTACATCTGTTTTGTAGATGTTTAACAACCTGGTTCTTCGTGTTTTATCATTTTGGAGGCTCTTGGACACTAAACAAAAAAAAAACATATTGGTGTTTCATACTGTACGTCTAGCATTGCTAGATGTGACCACCTCTTTAATGTGACCATTAAAACTTATGGTTTTAATACATGATTAATGTTTGGAAACCTTAGCTGGCATTTTGAGTTAAATGTAGTACCCAGTTCCTGTGTAGTTTTTCCGTGACCTGAAATCACAGAATTTGTTTATTGAAGTTCCTCTTCTCTATTCTCTTTTCACACCAAGCAAACTTTTTATTAACCTAAATTGGCCTACAGGTGGTGAAATTAGTATTGCTATTTTATTTTTATATTGCTGCATGGGACCCACCAGGAAAGCCTTTGTGAATGTAAACACAACAAAATGCAAAAACAAAAATCCCCTGTGATAAAGAAGTGAAATATTCTGGTAAAAGCAGTTAGTGTAGTAAAAAAAGAGAAATGCTGGTCTTCTAAATGTGGAATTTTTGCTGTGACGTACAGTATGATGTAATTTGTTTGGGCTGAGTCAACTATAAAAGACTACCCATTAGTTACCTAGTCTGTTCCTTGAAAGTAAGGGAGCGAGGCAAAAGTGTCTTAGGCCAAAATAAGTGCAGCTGGAACTCACCACAGCACAGGGATGGGAGAGCAAGAGAGAAACATGGGAAACCCTTCTGACATCCACCTGGGAGCTTTCCATGTGTCTGAAGAATATGGCTTCGTCCTAGAAGACCCGCTGGTGAGAAAAACCTTTATTTCTCAGTCTATTTTTTTAATGCTGTATTTTTCATATGATTCTTAATGTAGGAGGTTTTATGCATAGCATAGCTGTAAATGGAAAGATTCTCAGAATAATAAACTTTGTTACTCCTGCTGTTTTTTAAAATAATTGCAGCCCCATATATAGTAGCAAGAGTACTTTGGAACGAAACTATTAGAAGCATTATGATGGTGATTGAATGATACTGTACATCAACTAATTCAAATCTTACTGACAAATTTGACATTTCACTGACGTTATTTGTGTCTTCTGGCATGAAAGAGAACACAACTACCAAGTCCTCTAGGTAGGTTTTTGTAATTAAAGTGCCTCAGAGATAAACCAGATTGTTTCCCTTTGTGCTTGAGACTACCCTTTATGATCAGAAATAATATTTATACTTTGATAAAATGACATGAAGTTACTCAAGGACACTAGTCCTGTCTTCCGGAAGAATATATTCAATAATATCTTCTGTGGTTACCTGTTCAAACTAGTCTAACAAAACATGTGAGGACATGCTTCCACACAAAAGTTTGGTGAGGTCTGTCCACACCTTTACCGGTGACATACCAGAATCTGTGGTTAGTAATTTAGCCATGTAAAGAAACAGAGGACAAGTTACAGTAAGTTCCTTTCCAGGCTATAAAACCCCACTTGAGAATGGGGGTCAAGGGCCACCATTTTTCTTGGCCATCCAATACTGGGAGTGGAGGTGATGTGGTTAGCATCACACTCCAGCCAGCCTATTAGCCCCAAAGGATTAACCCCCTGGTGCTCATTTGGAAAGCAGGTTGTGGACCTGGGAGCCATCTGGAACGAATTAGAACAATCTACATCCCCTATCTGGGACTGAACCTGGGACTTTCTGGGCAGGAGTTAGAGACCCTTGCCATTTGAGCTACCACGGCTCATAGAGAGCAAGTAACTCAACTGAAATGTTGATAGTCACCAAAACACCAATTCACCCTGTTTTTATTTTGGACATTAGTTCTCACCCTGGATGCCCAGTCAGGACCTAATCAGTTATTTAAAAGAGTACACGGATTTTGCAGCTGTATTTGAGAGGCACCTACTGTAGATTAACTGGAATTTAGTAATTCCTCCCCATGAGTCATGTACACTTTTAAATAAAATGCAGTACAAATTGTGTATTACAGGTACAGTATAAAAGACTATAAATTGTCCCTTCCCTTTTAAGAGTTCCTTACACTTCTACAGTTGCACAAAGCAGCTGGACACTCTGTATTGAGGTCAATAGTCAAGTGTTAAAGAAAGTGTCCATAATCAATCCTTGGAATACTGATTATTATTGATTTCTGGCCCCCTGGCCTGGAGAATGGCACAAGAGACAAACAGAGCTTTTTGAAAATCCTCCCTCTCTCACCAGGACACAGGCTTGCTATTTCAAAACACATGATCAAGACTGGGATTTTTTTCTGTGGCTATCCAAGTGGTTAATGTTACTGTAACATTATAGGGAATTATAGTATAGGGAACCACCCTGTGCTGCCTCATTGGTCACTCACAATCCCCTTGCTGTCACTGTCTAGGAACTGTAAACCAGTATCTCATTCCACTCCGAGGGCTGAGAGCACAGGAGGAATGACAAGTTCTCGTTTTAACGCCAGTGGAAACCCAGCACACCACTGCTGCAGGCGGATTACACTCAGGCAGCCAGGGCACCAGTACTCTTAACTTATCTGTCAGGAATCCAAGACAAAATGGCCACAAGCGCCTTGTGCTTGTGAAGACAATGATTTTTTACTTTTTAAAGGTGATGACCAAAAGTTCTTCAGCCTTGAATATATTAATTAACTCATGTTAATTTTCTTAAGCAGTCATTTTATTTGAAAATTTGCCACAATAGGAATGCATGATGTGCAGAAGTGGGCATGTTACATAGATAAGCTTGAGATTTTTTATGCATTAATTTATTCCTTGTAGTCTCTAAACTAAAGGAAAAACTGACAGCTGAAAATAATTATTTTATTGATTTTGTTCGACACAGTGAACATAATAAACATTTTTCTGATGTACTGTACCTTTGTTAGTAATAGCATTACTTTGTTTATTGTTTATTTTAGTCTGATCAGTAAAGACCACAAGCAGCTTCAAAAGCAGTAATATTTCCCTTTGTTTTTGAAACTGAATATTAATTCGGTCCAAGGTGAGATGAGTGCAACATAAAGACTGCAGTAAACAGTTTTACTCTCTGTATTTACTGAAGCTGCAGTGCATGCAGGTGGATTTTCTAATATTCACCATCTGTTACATCTCTCAGACAGATCTTCCAGCCTACTATCAGGCCTGGATGGACATTGCCACAAACCTCAACTTCTTAATTGAGAGCCATCAGCTTCAAGACAAAGTCAAACAGGTGAGATTCCTAGCAGTCGTATATTTGTCCAAAACCTGAAGCAACTGTAGCACCTGTCTGCAGCACAGAAAAAAAAAGTTAAATCCATTTTTTTAATGCAAACATCTATGTACATCTACTGTACTTGCGTTGTCTATCCAACACCTGCAGTGATAGCAGCAGTGGTAATGGTAGTTGTACAAAACAAATCTGTAATACTCAAAGTACTCATAGGAATAGCATTGTGTTTTATGCTGTGATACACAGATTACTTAGGGCAAGAAATGTTATGCATTATTTCTATTAATCCCGACAGAGAAAATTGTTTGCTGGACTGGTAAACCTTAAGAAGCAAATGGATCACACTTGTTTGGAGGTTGTTTTGCGGACTTATGCTTCTTCTGATCATGTGCTGTGTGTCTTGTGTTTCATAGATACTGTAATAGCTTCTCACACCTTGTTTATTGTGCCATTAACAGATGCCTTTGCTGAGTATCCACCACCTCAAGGGGCACAGGGAACTGAGGCTGGCACACCTGGCGCTAGGTGTCATCACCATGGGCTATGTGTGGCAGGAGGGGAAAGAGAAGCCAGCCAAGGTGAGTGGGGGTGGTTTTTCAAAGGCATTTCAAAGACAGACCTGCCCCATTCTGGTCCTGGAGGGGTCCAATATGTTTTATATCCATCCATTTTCTAACTGCTTCTTCCTATTCAAGGTCAGCAGGGAAACAGAGCCTATACTGGCAAGCAACAGGCGCAAGGCAGGATACACCCTGGGCAGGATGGCAGTCCATCACAGGGCAGAAACACACACAGACACAGATAGGCTCACACCTAATGTTTATTTTCCCAAAAGCCAATTAACCCACAAGTATGCCTTTGGACTATGGGAGGAAGCCAGAGCACCCGGTGAAAACTCATGTGAACATACAAGCTCCACACTAACAGCACCCCAGGTCTGAACCCAGGACCCCAGCTCCACGAGGCAGCACAGCTAACCACTGAGACACCGTGCCACCCACAGGTTTTATGTGTTTCTTCTAAAACCATTAACATAGAAAACAATGTGAAACAATGGAATGTGGCAGTCAAGAGCTGAGATTTAATCTGGATGACATGGTGGCCTTCTATGCCAGAGAAGTGAGGAGAGACAGTAATTTCTGAAGTGTCTTTTAATAACTGAATGGGATTTTGCATTAAATCACCTCACTACAGTGGTGCCCAATACTGGAGATAGCCCCAGTCTTTGTGATGTCTTAAAGTTATGACTAATAATACTTATTAATAATGAATATTAATAGACAACATAAACATTAATCTTGAAAGCATAAGATTAATAAACATTGTTGCCATTAAGCAACTATGAACCTGGTATGAATGCGAATAGACCCCTTAGCTGTTCAGGAACAGGGTAAGGGCTGGAGAACTTACATATACTATATATATATTTGTTTATAGCAACATAAACTAAATCAAATTCATACACTTTTTTCATCACAACAAAGATTGCATGGAAAGGTCTACACAATATTATACTGTTCTTATGAGAATATTATACTGTACTTATATGTGACAGCCTCCTTCTATAGCTGACCTGCTACATCGTATAAAACATGCTTGTCCTTTTCATATGATGCCTGCATTTTTGCCCCTCAAATGGGAGTGGATGACCTTGCCAAGTCAGGTGGTCCTATAATTTTACTGGCAGCTAAAACGATTTAAATTACAGGTGAGCATAGTAGTCGGAGTTTGAATTTATCAGTAAATTCAGTAATCTGAGAATTTGTGTTTATCTGACTGTTACTGAAGATTGTTGCTTAAACTCTTATTGACAGACCCTACCGAAGGGTCTGGCCGTGCCTTACTGCAGAGTGTCTGAAGTCCTCGGCCTTCCCCCCATCTTGGTTTATGCTGACTCAGTTCTGGCCAATTGGAAGAAAAAGGACCGGAATGGGTATGCGCTCTTGTTTACCACTTTCTGCCACTCCTATGACTCCTGAGCTTCACTCTTTGATCAGTGAAGGTGGTTACTGCTGTCTGTGCCCATCACATGTCATATTTTCAACAAAGCTGCCATTATTAGCTTTTCAGACTGTGAAACGTATTCTTGGTTCTTTCACAGTCAAAACATAGTCTGGTTTTCTTATTAGCCTGAGATTGTAATGGTTCAAGTTGTAAAGTAGGGCACAAATTAGAGTGAATAGTCAATGGATGATGGATAAAGGATATAAGATGTTCTAGGTGAACCATTGAGAAGTCATCTACTCTAGTCATAGTACTCTCGATGGACAATGATTTAACCTGCATCCCTCACAGTGACAGAAGTGGAACTATCTGGAGAGTGACTGCAGTGGTATGTTATTATGTTTTCGGAAATTAAATATACAGTACATGCTGACCAAGAACCAGTTCCCTATAACGCACAGGGATGTGGTTCTCCATTTTTGTAAGAAACAAAAGGCACAAAAATGTACGGTACATTAGCAATGAGTGTTTTGTATTATGCAGTTACCATGGTTTAGCGTTTAGACAATGGATAATGCCAAGGAGATGAGTAAATTAACAACTTTCCTTTTGTCTGCTTTTCCCCTACCCCTTTACCTCTAAATATTAACTTTTAACCATGTGACTGGAAAGACCCATGGACATAGGGTAAGTTTACTGATTTCTGTTCATTAATGTTGACTGTAAACATTTTTTAAATATAAGAACATATGAAAGATTTCTAGAAGACTCTCTATGCAAAACATTGCTCCTGTTTCAGTCCTAAATGCAATAAACTCTTCATGTTCGTGTTTCTTTGTTGAGCTTGAAGTAATCCATCTTGTTAACTTTGACTACACCTTTCAAGCAAGGAATTCAAACTTAATAGGGTTTATTCAAACATACTGTATATTTGCAGGGTAGATAACTCCATAACTCCTGAGGTTTGAATTTTGTTATTCTTATTAAATAAATGTAAATTTGTTAGTATTTGATGTAAAAACATTTAACTGTTTCTCATACTTAACCCTAGGAACCTGGACACTGTGTTCACATTGCCTGGTGGGGACACATGCAAAGGATTCCTTTTGGTTTCTCTGATGGTAGAGAAGGCTGCCAGTTCAGGACTACAGGCAAGATTCATGTCTAGAGCTCTAGAAAAAAAATTAAAAACACATGTAAGATTGTAGGATAATAAGCTCAAACACCAAACATGAAATGAAATCAGCGCTTATGCATAGATGTTATTTTAAAAAAATGAAAATGCTGGTTAAAATAAACTGAATAAAATAACATTAAAACAAGACAGATAAAAGAAAGCTGAGAATTATAATCTGGACTGAAAGTTTGAGTGGCTCTTTTGTGTATTAGTTTATTCTTAAACTACCCTACACTCTTTAAGTTCATTCTTTAACAATCTGACATTTTTCAATGGAATTCTTATCCTCTGAGTGAACAATGAAATCCTCATAAAATATCCCGCATATTCATTCTTTGCCAACCCTTTCATTTGAATAAACCATATACTGTCAGAATGGGAACTGTAATACAATTTTATTTATGAGCACTTTTTTAAAGAAAACTCTAAGCGCTGTATAGACAGGACACAACAGAAACACAAAGAAAGTGAAAGAAAATCTGCCCAGCAGTTCCAAGAACAAGATTCAATTCCACATTACAATTTGTAGTGAAAAAGATGAGTCTCCCAGCAAGTTTTGAATGTGTTGATGGTCTTTGAGCCCTGGGCTCCCCGGATGTGGTGCTGCACACAAGAAAGCTTTGTTCACTTTGTGGTGACTTCGGAAGGGCAGAATCAACAAACCTCAGCTGGACTCCACTCGTGCAATAAAAAAATGCAATAAGTCCTTAAAATGATCTGGAAATCGACTATTCATCATCTTATGCAGGCTGCAGAACCTTAAAGTCCACTTTAAATTTAATTGGAAGTGTAATTTACAGAGGATGGGAAACATGTGCCAGTGCAGAAGTGTTTTAGTTAGTGCGCAGGTTGCAGAATTCTGGACATACAGAATCCTATGTGGACCTTAGAAGATAGCTCAGCAAATACATTATTTCTGTAGTCCAATTTTAGGATTAGACTGGAACATGGGAGTAAGTATCTCATGTGTTTGAAGTGATGTGGATTTAAAAACACCATTCTCTCCTCCTCAGGGGTTAGAGACTTTTGGAATCAATGGGCAATGAGGAAAAAGAAGGACAGTGTTTGCTTTGTCCTGAATGTGGTTGTTGAACTTTTTTTTTGCTTTCAGGGCATTGCCATGGCGATGAACTCTATGGTAACTCATGACATCAGCTCCATGGAGGAGGCACTTTTGACTACAGCCACCTCTCTAATTGAGATGAGGGAAGCTTTCCAGCTCATGCATGGTAGGATCTTCATCTGCACATGGATATTGCACATATTCTTAAACCTTCAGAATAACCACAGGTCCATTGTTCAAATGAGCTCAGAATAATAGCATGTCATTTATTCACATGACTGCCACTCTAAATCACCAGTATTATATGTGTATTTGTGGACAGAACAATCACATCACGTCTTTTTGGAGGAAATCATTTTTTTAAATTATGAATGTAGAATGCAGTACATTCTTCTGAATGTAGATGTAGATTATGCCTCTCTATCTGAGGTGTAGGTAACCAACAATTCTTAAAGGTAATGTAAAAAATCATTCAAAACAGGAAGAGGTTTTCTGTCCAACAATTGGTTGGGTTGCTAATTGCTTATCAATTCAAGGATACTTACATGAGCAGTGTTTTTAAGATCAGAGGTGTACAATCGTGTTCTTGGAGGACTAGTGTATCTGCAGGGTTTCTAAGTCTCTTTAAAGCAGAAACACCTGAATAGGTGGGGGAAACAGTTAAATTGGTCCAGTTAAGACAGTACCCAGCTGGTATTACTTGTTAAGCACAGAATTGGAATGAAAATGCACAGACACACCTGCCTTCCAGGACTAGTTGTGGACAACCTGACCGTAGGTGGCATTTTTGGTTTGAGTCCCACTCAACATGAATTGTCTTTCTTGGTCTGGGAACATTTAAGGTTCTCAAACCTGGGATCCACTTTTCGTTGTCAATGCATAATCTGCCATATCAACAGGTACACTAGCAAGACACCAGGGGTCACTTGGAAGAAAACAACTCTGTTGGTTTCCAGTTGAGTGAGGAGGCACTTAAATGAACCAGGAAACAAAAAGACTGATGTCTCAGACACATCTTCCAAAGGGCTTGTCTCTCTGTTCTTTATTTTCAGTGTTCTAATTGGCTTATTCAGTAAAATGATGGGGTTTCCTATAGGTTTAGACCCTTCCTGACCCTGCTGATTTAATTTGGAGTCAAAACTAAATGTGCTTATTTTTGTGTTAATTTAAATGTCATTTTCCATGTTTACAGGAGAAGTGGACCCCACATTGTTCTATGGTGTCTTGCGCACCTTTTTATCTGGGTAAGTTCAATAATTGACCAATGGACTGGACTGCAGCAGAAGGGATTCAGCTTTTCCAAAACATTGCACTGAATCTTCTCAGTCCCATAATGGTGCCACATTTGATGAGTGTATGACGTAATAAAGGAAACACATTTTTTGTTTTGGCAGCCATCCCTACTTAAAAAGGTTTCTTTCCTTTGAACTGGTTCACATGGCTTCTGCCAAACTTTATGGGGCTTTTCTCATAGTTTCACTGGGATTGATTACAATCCTTTTAAAATGTTATTCTGTCACCAGGCTTCAGTAAGTTTGAGAGAATATGCTGCAGGAGTTTTAATTATATCTGCCTTCCACTGACATTTGCATTTTAGGTGGAACAGATAATCACCACAAACATTTGTTTCTGCAAGACCATAAAATATTTATAAAGATGCCTTCTTCATCACACCAGATATAAAAGATGCATGTCATTTTAACAAAATCTTGCATGTCTTGTCACATCCCAGCTGGAAAGACAACCCTATGTTGCCAGAGGGTTTAAGATATGAAGGGGTGTGGGAGGAACCCCGACATTTCTCTGGTGGCAGTGCAGCGCAGAGCTCAGCCATACAGTGCTTCGACGAGCTGCTGGGAATTCGCCACAAAGAGGAGCATGGTGAGCTGAGAAGATACACCTTTCTCAAGTTCCCAATAGACTTTTCTGTTAGATAGTTAATTACATTCTTGTTTAGTGTAGGCAAAACTTAGCTATCACAAACCAGTTGACGGGGCAGTCAGTACATTTTCCTTTATGCTTATGAGCTCCTGTGCTTTCTCTTTATCGACATTCCAGATGCTTCTTTCCTGATGCGAATGAGAGAATACATGCCCCCACCCCACAGACGGCTAATTGAAGCCATCGCCGCGGGACCCGCTCTGCGCCAGTACGTCATCTCCAGCGCCAGTGCACGTCTGAGCTTTGCCTACAACTGCTGTGTGGCTGAGCTGGTCAAGCTCAGGAGCTATCACATCAACACCGTGTACAAGTACATCAATATTCCGGCCAATAAAGCCAAACGTTCTGGCTGCCCATTTGGCGGGACAAGCCTGGCTTTAAGGGAAACGGGCACTGGCGGCTCCGACGTCCTGCGCTTCCTCCAAAGCATTCGCAATTCCACTAAAGACTATTTAATATACTGATGGAAAAAACCAAAATGCACCGTTTTCTGGAATGAGAATACTATAGATATAGCTTATGTACTTTCACGAAACATTGTCAATTTGTTTTAAGCCCTCTGATCAGCAATACAGCTTGTGCAATTCCAGCTTGCCAATCACACGAAAGCTTCTTTGGTGCACTTTTACCCAATGAGGTCCAGGTGGAACAATGCCTGATCAGGGCACCTTTAAAAAGGTCTTAATTCAAAGCTTAGGTCCATGCAAGAAAAAGGCCACACTTAGTCAGTTTTCTGTGCATTCCACAATGCCTCGACTGTCACCAGAAGCAAGGGAGAGGGCCATTGGCATGCTGCAGGCAGGCATGTCATGTGCCAGCGTTGCCAGACACTATGGAGTAAGCCGCTCTGAGATTCAGTCGAGTGACCACACCAGAGCAGGACTGACCCATCAGACTGGTCCATCTGAGAGATCGTTTCAGATCTGCTACCCGTACTGCTGCTAAAACCGCCGGCAGAACCAATGCCCACATCAGTGACAGGACAGTTAGGCTCCATGCTGCTGACCTTAGAGCAAGGCGACCTGTCAGAGGCCCTCTGCTCACACCTTCTAGACGTCACACCCAACTGGCCAGACAGAGGCTGCGATGGACTCGTCAGCAGTGGCTTCAGGTCCTGTTCACAGATGAGTCACTCTTCAGCCTGTTCCACGCAGACAGGAGGAGGATTATATATATATGAACGAGATGTGAACTGTGCTGTATGTATAAAATTCTAAAAACATTGAAATACACTATGATGAGATAAGGGATATACAGTATCATATGTGACTAGCAACTTAAGTTACATTTAGTGGAATAAACTAGTTACTGTAACTAAATGCACATAGTAATTATTTAGTAAACACATATGTACTTATTATAATAATACATTACATAGTTAGTATATGATTCATGTCAAATTCTTTTACCAGCATATATCACATTTGATTCAAAATAGTGGTAATTGTGTAGCTGAATATATTCATAAAAGACAAGAGAGTTGCTTTGAAACTGTGTAGTACCATTGGACTTATTGGATGCATAAGGGCATAAGCAATTGTACTGTACATGCTGTCTAATGTGCAGATAACTGTATACTTATACTATATATAATTAGATATATAATTGTGTTTTTGTGTGACCTTCGTAACAATATGGTTGAAAACGCTTGTATATTATGCTGTTTTTTGACCCATTCTTTGCATTCAGTTTCTTCATATTCAAATTGTCACGCTATTTTTAAAAGCATGTAAGACACACAGTTGTTTATATTCCCTCAAATTGTATTAGTTTTATTACTAAAACAGTTTTACAGCAATGTCCAGCTGTTACTGTTATTAAGTACTGAACATGTAAATATGTATTCCATGCTGCACAATCTATTATATTAGTTTATGCCTAGTAAGGAAATGCTCGAGGAAGTTTCTGTTGACCCGAATAAGACCCTTCAGCTCTCAGAATCTGACAGGCACCACAACATTACCAGGATTAACCCCTGAAAAAAACAGTATTGTATTTTTACATTTGGTAGTATCTACATTGAAGACTGACATTTGCATTATACTGTACATAGAAAGAAAAAAAATGTTTACATGAAAGTTATACCTGTTGTGTTTATTTATCATGCTGTATTATAGCAATCATAATGTATTATACTGGTGTGTGCTACAAATAAATGATAAAAAAAATTATTGTTCATCGGAATACTTGAGTATATTTAACTTGTTTTCATTCTTTTAAAAAGTGCATTGGCATTTCTGGCATTGGATACCCCAAAACTGCTAAAGTACTACATTCGAAAATGTAATTGCCAAACCTGAACATAAATAATATGAAAATGCCCACCTAATCAACTGATAATTAATATATGTCATAATTGTAATAGCCATTATCACTCACGTAATAAACTGATAATGAATATATGTCATAATTCTAATAGCCATTATCAATGTCCTTTTTTTAACGTTTCACAACGTTAGAATCAGATTATACAGTACCACGGGACAGAGCTGGGCGTGGTTGCCTGCTTTAGTTTGAAATATTCCTCAGAAATTTCCGCTATCTAGATTTCCTAATTATTATTCATATATCCAACGATTCATAGCGACGTCTGTTGACTTTTTAAAACAGTCGTCAATGGTGTTCCTCCTTCTGATATAGAAATCATATTTTATCCTATAAGATTAAGGATGAAATTTGTATTTAGATACGCACATACTGTAATATGAATAACCAAGTATACATTTGCTGTCAACATTTCGTTAACTGTTATCTGCAATAGCACCCAAATACACAGCCTTGACGTTAATTGCTGTAATGCCATATAATGATAAAATACACGTTTTTTTTGTCGTTAGGTTTTAAATTAATCAAAAACCACAAATAAATTTGAATACATTCGGAAATATGCATGGAACTAAAGTGTAAACTACCTTGTTTCTCTATCGGTGCATTACAGGGTAACACACAGAAGATGCTGCAGGAGGTATCAGTAAGTGAAAAAATATTTGCATTTGTTTTCTGTTGTTTAAGAATCTTTTAAAATGTTCTGAGCCATTAATTGCATTTTCCTTTGTCATGTAACCTAAGCAGTGTCGCTATCATACTATTAAAGCTTGGTGGATCATTTTATTTTTGGTAGTTCATTCAAAATTAATTAGGTTTCTTTACATTGAAATCCACCTTCCCAGCTGCTTCCTTTCGCTTTAGTGACATTGAGTCATTAAACCATTTATTTAGCTAGGCTAACAGCCATTCGTTGTGAGCACAGAACATTAAACCTGTGATGTCATTAGATTTTGTGTAAATTGAGCGTATTTTCCATTTATGTTTAATTTGCAGAAAACATACTGATTGGTATTCTCTTAAGTAATGACCACTCTTTTGCTAATTTATGTTTCTGGAATGGACTTGACAATTTTTTACTACTTACGAGCAATGATGTTTCTCAATGACGTTTCTTGTGGTTGTTTATGAATGAATTAGTATTACAAGAACTATCACAAGAAACGCCTGTGGATCTCTTTATATTAAATAAAAAATTATTCTTTGAGGTGCACTATGTTATTTTGGCTTTGCAATATAGCTTTTGCTGTCCTTAGTCGCTTTGCGATGGTTCTGTAAGAGCTCTGACGTAGGGCACACATTCACCTGAGTATACACTCGTGACGTAATGAGCAGGAAAAAAAAAGCAAAACTCGTTCGTGACTTTTGTGCTTAGTTTGAATTTCAGTTTTGTTTCCGTATTTCATATTTGCTACGTAATATTTTCAAGACAATTATTTATTTTATACAGCTCGTTACTATTGCAATCGATTTTGTTGAAACCAGCAGCCAAGAATAAGCTTTTAAAAAATCGCAAAAAAACGTCATTTTAGATTTATTAGGTAACCCTTTTAAGATCTCTATATAATGAAACCATTTGACTTGATATTATACAATTACTTGTCATTCGGCTGTTTGTTTTTCTTAGCTTCATTGTTTCATTTATGTATCCTATCCTTATCGCTCCAGCAGCCATATCACCTTGCAAACCACTGAAGCTCAGCCAGTGTGAGCCTGCTCAATACCTGGATGGGAGACCTCCTAGGAAAGCTAAGGTTGCTGCTGGAAGAGGTGTAAGTGGGGCCAGCAGGGGGCGCTCACCTTGTGGTCAGTGTGGGTCCTAATGCCCCTGTATAATGATGGGGACACTATACTGTAAAAAGGCGCTGTTCTTTGGATGAGATGTAAACCGAGGTCTTGACTCAGTGTGGTCATTAAAAATCCCAGGGTGTTCCTCGAAAAGAGTATGGGTGTTACCCTGGCATCCTGGCCAAATTTCCCATTGGCTTTTACCAATCATGACCTCCTAATAATCCCCATCAATAAATTGGCTTCATCACTCTGTTCTGTGAGGGCAGCACAATGGTGGTGGTGGAGGGGAGTTCCCATTACCTGGAAAGCGCTTTGGGTGGAGTGTCCAGAAGAGTGCTATGTAAAAAAAGTATTTGCCCCCTTCCTGATTTCCTCTATTTTTACATATTTGTCACACTGGATTTTTTCAGACCTTTAGACAAAATCTACTATTAGATAAAGGGAACCTGAGTGAACAAATAACACTTTTATTATTATTATTATTATTATTATTATTATTAT